ATGCCAGGCACCACAGCACGTGCGACAGTAGGATTTGACGTTTGGTAATGCCCCCTGCACCCGTGCACCACAAAACGGATTGAGAACAACATGTCAGCAGTCCGGGCCGCGCGCAACCCAGGGCGTTTCGTGGTCTCACCCGTTCCCTGGCCCGTCATTTTTCTCTCCTCCTCTCAGTCCTTGCAAGAGCCGTCTCCTCAAGCAATGTGGCGACAGACCAAGGGATAAAAGATTGTGTTCAAGAGTGGTGAGCAAGTGTGTTTGTGTGTTGTGTTGTTAGTAGCTCACAATGCGCTGCAAGACCCGTCCACTAAAGGATTGACAAACATTCTGTACCGTCCTTGACCTCATGGCCCCCCCGGGGCCCCCGCCGGCCCCCCGGCCACAGCCCCCCCCCCTCCCGACACTTTGTGTGTAGGTGAGAAATAAAGGCTTCATTTGTTGTGATTGTTTCTGTTTTCAGGATTATCAAGGGTCAAGGCATCGACATCAAGAGCCTCAGCTCCAGATCAGTCCTCACAGTGAACAACATGACAGAGGATCGTTATGGGAACTACACATGTGTCGCCTCCAACAAGCTAGGGACGGCTAATGCCAGTGTGCCTCTCATTCGTAAGTTGTCATTCTACTTGCTTGTGGCAAACTGGAGAGGTGAAGAGTCAGAGGGATGAGTGTCGTGGATGTGAGTGGGGGTTTGTGCTCCCAAAAGTCTCATTTTTGCTGCAGCCTTCTTGATACAGTTACTAAAGTTAAGCCTACTGGGTGCCCACATATCACCAGTGGAGGTGGTTTCTTGTATCCTAGTCATCAGTTTTGTGAAAGTTGAGTGTCTATTATGGTTGCAAAATCTGTATGTGGGTGGGTGCGTGTCAGTGTGTCTGCTTTTAAAATCTACATCTGCATGTCTACTGGACAAAAACACCACCTGAAAAAGAAATTTAGCTTGGAGGTGATAACAGCATCACAATTACAAAGGCAGCTACACAGGTCAGTCGTGCTAAGTTGAATGCCAAGTAGCAGTATGACTCAGATTCTAAAGAGGGCTGAGGGTTAGCATTTTCATAGTTTTCAAAGCGCCATGAGGCATCTAACAGTGATCCAAAGAGGCTAAATAATCAGAGGCCAAACTGCTGATGCATCAGTGAGAGACTTATTTGACATGGTTAGGGAAGCATTCTGCATAAATTAAGGTATTGAAAACAAAACCCACATTAGAGTATTTGCTAAACACCTCTAAACTGCACAGCATAACTTTCCACAAAGCACTGGCAGAAAACAGAAAAACTGATTCAGTCCCCAGGTGGCAGGTTGTGCGTTCCAACAAACACAAGTTCTGTATTCATGGGTGGTAAAGCCAGTGAAGGATCATGCCCATGTCACCACACTTGCAATTTCTTCTAGCTGTTTAGGGTGTCTGCAGAGAGGTACTGGGATCTAGTGTGAAACGGCTTTACAGCCTCCTGATGAGCGCTGGTGGAGAAGGAACTTGGCTGCCTACCCCTTACCAAGGCCAACCGTAGAGTAAGCAGTCATAACAACTGCAGTACAATAGGAATTGGCCATTGGGGAGAAAGAAAGGCGAGAAGAACACTAATATGTCTATTATGAGCTTAACAAAACCATGAATTATGGGAGCTGTCATTCAGAAAAAGCCCTCATGCACATGCCCTTGTATGAGGAGATCAGAAAATAGAGCCATGAGCACAGGGAAAGGTTGTGTGGTGCAATGAAATCATCTTTAAATTTAATAAACCTCAGAATAATAACACATGTTGCCAACTGCTGAAAACACCGTAGTGGTAGATTTGTACTGTATACTGTAGGCTGCCATCTTATAGTGAGTAGTTATAGTGATGAAGTCCACTGACTGGAGCCAAGTCCAACAAGAGGCGGGGTATACACTGACAGGGAAGACTAGTTATCATACTGTTACTAAGCTAATTGGTGATTTCAATGGCTTATTGAAGTTTTTTTTAAAAATGTTATTGATCATTACAGTATAATAGGCCCGTAAGGTCAGGGATGCTCAAAACATAGAAATGATCAAAAAAGATGAAAGTGCCTTAAAAATGCCCTGAGGCTTATTCCCATTGTAGTGCAGCCAAGTTCTGTCAGCTGGTCAGTTAACAGACAAAGAATACAAGGCTTTTTGGATCCTGACTACATCTTTTTTATATATATATCAAGAAAAGAAACCTATTTTCCCAGTTGTGTGATGAGTCTGTAGTCCACAGCCACTTCACTCACTGGATGTGCGCATCTTTGAATGTGAGTCTATGGGAAGTGGCTTTCAACCACTTTCAGTCCTAGAAGAACAAGACACTTTTCCCTCTTGTACAGTGTTACATTATCCATCTGCATAAATTCACAAACTTGTTTAAGAGCACTGCATTTTTACTAAGCCCTAGATTGAACTTCTTGGTAGGTTTTTGATATTCCTACACTGTTCAGTTATTTTGTCCACCTGCCAAGCAGCAAAAAAAAAAAAAAAAAGAAATGACAGCAAAGGGTTGGGAAACATGTTTCCCACAATGTTTTAGTGCAAGTATGGGTGGAAAAAATGAAATTTAATGTATTCAGTAATGAAATATGAACAGGTGAATTAAATAATTCACCAGTTTGCGCTGCACCCTCTGATGATAACATTGTCCCTAGCAGGCCAGAGACTCAGAATACAAAAAGATATTTCTGTAGAGTTGGCAATTGTCAAAGGAGCACTCCACTCTCCTGTTTGTGTATGCACAAAGAACATCAAAGGCTTGTCTCAGATCCTCAAATGGATGATCTTAATGTGACACTAGCGAGGCCTCAAAGGCAGAGCGGCAAAGAAGCCCTCAGAATAGTCAGAGGAGGCAGCTTCCTGTGCTGCCACCCCCAACTTCTCTCTCTTCCATTCCCTCACTTTATCTCTTTGTCTGTCTTTCTATCATGGCTTTGTCTCTCTGATTCTCTTATCTCACTCTCTTACTCTCGCGCTCTTTTGTTATCCCCCCCGTCTCTCATTCTTCCTTTCTATCACTCTTTCTCTCACACACACGAAGCATCTCTTTTCCCCTCCCTTTCTCCCTCATGATCTCCACTAATGGAAGAGAGGCCAATTCTGCTGTCGCTCTTAATGAGAAATGGCAAGCAATCGCCGCAGCGCACTCTCACCGGTACGTTGACGCAAATAACAAAACCCAGAGGTTAGATTTCACCATGGGTGACTTTGGATTGCTATTTTAGAACCAGTCGATAGCTATTGATGAGCAAGATGGGAAGGGGGGAAAGGGGCATGCATATTTGATAGAGCATCATACATTGAGGTGAATTTTAAGTGGCAACACAATGTGGGTGGTTTGCGGTGAAACAATTTATATGCAGTAGTTTCTTTGGTTGTTTCCATTACACTGAGAGGTTTAGTAACTGTGCATGAATTGATAAGGTCAAGTAAGGGCCATGCCTGCTAAGAAAGCCTTCTTGAAATACAGCCACAGGGGAAAAAAGATAAAATATAAACTGAAATACTAACCATTCAGGGCTCAATTTCATTAGTCTCTTGTCAAGATTTTGAAGTTGAAAGGTCCTTATCCTTCAGCGGCATAAATCCTTTTTGTCTTAACCTAACAGAGTCACTTTAAATCAGTCCAGGAAAAGGCTTGCCATTATCGCTGATGAGCTGAACTGTGACTTTGGACAGCCTTCACCCAGGGAAAGAAAACACATTTGCCTTCCATCCAAAGCAGCCACTGGAAGACAGCTAGTGTTTCCATTTCAAATAAAACAAGGATGTAACAAAATTTGCATCCTGGCTTTGTGCACATCTCGATATGGTAGGTTCTGACTAATTTTCGCATTTTAGAAAATGAGTTGGATGGCCGTGTCCTCACTGTGTGCTGTCGTGGCTGTTTGGATTCAGTTCTGCCAGTTGTGTTAGACTAGGTGGGGTTTTGTGCTGTTAAACCATTAGTCAGGGATTGTGATCTCTTTCAGCTAAGTACCACTTTAATCTGTGTATTTAAACAAACTGGGTTCTTTGGAGCAGAAAGAAAGCATACAACCTCTTTGTCACTACTTGTTGGAATACCCTGTGTGCGTATGTGTGTGTATGTGGTTGTATGTGCACAAAGCTTTTTATACTTGATTGTTTTTTGAATAACACAATACCTAGTGTTATTAGTGAATGAACAAATAATAAAGTGGAAAACACTTGTCACAATTGTCTGTACTTCTAAACAATTGTTAAGTTAAAAAGGTGTAATGATTTGAACTGGATAATAGGTTTGAATTATGGCATAGAAATACTCAAATTTAACTTTGTGGAATATTTGTATTTAATTGATTACAGCTGAACAAGAGCTTGCACAGGTGTAGTCAGTTAGATTTCATCACAAGACAGGCTTTCTCTCAATAGCTTCACCGTAATGACAGAAAAGTAATTACAATTAATCAGGTATCAGCTTTGGGAGAAAATTATAGCGTAGTAGTTTACATTTGTCAGTTTGTGTTAACAATTGTACAAAATCAAAGCAGTAAAACTGGAACAAAACCTGCAGAGTGTGGAACTGGGTCGATGCATTTGTTTTTATACCCAGAAAGATTTCAGTTTCATACAAAAGCAGAAGTACGTTTAAGCAGTTATCAACTATAACAGGTTATGTGCTGATTTGTTTGTTAATTTACAATTCATATTATTATAATTCCATGAATTTGCCCAGTAGTTACATTTTGTGGCCAGATGTTACAGTCAGCATGTCTGTCATTATGCACAGTATAGTTTTGTTTATATGGTGTATGCACCATTAGTGCTGGCTTTGCAAATGTTTATGTGGTAATTATTACAGCAGTATAAGTACTTAAGTTGGACAACATTTAAACATGAGCATCTGTGTAAAATAGCAACATTTTTGCTTAACTAACACAACAAAGTTATTTTGTTTTTTGTAGTATGGGGGAGACTGGCAAAGAAAAGGAGAGGAGGAAGTAATGGAAGCTAAAATTAAATGAAACCAAGAAGACCAAAGACAGATGGTAGTTGTAAAATGCTTAGATTTATCACACTGTGACAAAATGTGGAGATTATGTTTGATAATTTTGATCAGTGAAAATAGCCATTCAAGTTGTGCATCATTTTTGGAATCCAAAAAGATGATGAAGGCATATCTGCTCAATTTGTACTTTTTGTAACTGATAATAAAAAATATGAAAGATTAGTGGATATTTGTTTTTCATTAAACTGAATGCTCAGCTCTTTGGTTTGAATGTAGTGTTTATACATGAGGCACAAACTTCCTACTGCTCAGCCATCTATGAGCCACGTCATACGCCAAAGTTCCTGTTGCCTCCTAAGACCCTGCAATTCATACTGGCCCTCTGCCAAACAGCCTTGCCCCGGCTCTTTCTATTTCTAGGTGAGCCAAGTGTGGAGGAGGCTCATTGTTAATGATGTACCCTATTGAAACGATCGAAACCAACGTGGTACCTATTGACACCGGCACCAGCTGATGTGTTTACGGCTGTTCACTCTTGCTTTACCTGGTCCGTGCTTATAAAATATCCACCATATCTGCACCAGAGAGTGTCTCTCTCTGTGTTTCTCTGCAGAGCAACCTGTACAAGAGGTGCTCCATCAGGTCTGGTAGAATCGAATCGGTACGTACTGTACTATAGAAAACGATTCTTGTGACATCCCTAGTAGGATTTCGTGGCATCTAACGGTTAAGTTGTAGATTGCACCCCACTGAAATATGTTTACATTCTCAGCATATAAAGCTGAAAAAATGCAAAACAACCAGTTTGGTTTGTCCATTTTGGACGACTGTAGAAGCATGCCAGTTCAACATGCTGGTCAGCATAATAACGTCTCATTCTAAGGTAACAAAAACACAGCAATTATTATTTCAAGGTGATTATACACTAATGAAAACATACCTATGAATATAGTATTCCATTTCTGCCAATAGATACTCCTAAATGTTACACACTGGACTTTTAAGTTATATATTTAAAAATCTGATTAATTAATCTGATTATTAAATTGTTTTATCTTCTGGTCTCAGGAGGGTAGGATTTTAGGACAAATAGATACTGTAGTTAATCTATATTGAAAGTTTATGGAGTCGTCTTGCTGTATAAGAGAATACAGAATTGCAACTATGACTTATTTTTAAATGTACCAAAGCATCATTGGAGGTTGTGTTTCTGACGGTCTCTCCTTGCCCCTACACATATATAGCATTCCCACACACACACTTAGACACACCTTATGATTTTAGCTGAGGTATAACAATCACCAAACTGGCAATCCCTATTTCAACTTCCCATTTCATGTGCTAGATGGAAGTGAACTTCGATGAAAAGACTGAGGCTGTTCACTCCAATTTTCTGAGGAGTCCTCCAGCTTAATTGGTCAAGCTCTTATCCCCCAGCCCACCTCGGCTTAGCCCTGGAGGAGATTTTCTCCGCCTATACCTCTGCCTTCATTTCCTCCTTTCTCCTCTCCCCTCCTCCCCTCCCCCTGTGCAGTAATCGGAAGAGACTGATGGGGGAGAAAAAGAGTCGCTCTCTCTCTCCCTCCCTCTCTCTCCGTCACTGCTCAGCCTCCCTCAGGCAAGAGAGACACTGCTGGCTAGTTGGTTAATGAACGTCGTGTTCGTTTGTCACGCTTATCAATCACCGCATGTGTAGGTGTCATTTCGACATGTCTCCTCATCTGCCATTGTTGTTGATGATGTTGTTTGTTCCTACACCGTGTGATTGTACCTGAGTCATGGAGCAGAGATACAGGAAAATGGGAGCTAAAGGTGAAACCTGAAATGTGGGTGTGTGATAACAGCTTAAAATGCAGGGAAAGAATATTGAAGCCATGTGGGGAATTGCAAGGCAGTGTATCACGTTTTAGCAAGTTGTATTCATCTTTGTGTGAAATTACTACCTCTTATTTGTTTAAACTGGCCACAAATCCAAGTGGATAATATGGGCACTATCCAGCTGTTTTCTGATTGTCTGTCTGTGTGAACACCTTTTAAGGTTAACCAAATTTTAATGTTTTGACATAGGTGTTTTAATTTTCATACACTCACACATCAAAATAAGCTGAATACATTGAACATGGTGAGGTTGAAGTGTCTTTTATTCTCCCCAAAAGCGCTCTTACAGTGTTGCACCATTTACCTATCATTTGAAGGCCTGCATTTACATATTTAGGCAATCAGAAAATCCATTAACATTTTCCCGTCGCACTGCGATGAGGAAATGTTTGGTGCTGTGGCAGAGTGTTCATCCTGTAGCCCAGCAGGCAATGGACTTTATACCCACCCACACCCCACCCACCCTCACTGAATCCAGTAGGAGGCCAGATGCACTGCTAGGAATGTTCATCCCTGGACGACTGAGCCCAGTGGATGCCCACAGGATGATACACTCTCTGGGCAGCATTAACAATGACATAGGATGAATAACTAATTAGCTGGCTCACAAATTAACACAGTCTTTAACGCTAACTATTCCATGATCATGGAAGGGATCAGTGAGGAAAATGTTTTAAAGTAGCTAAACAGTTCACACAAGGAATGTGTCCCTGCATGAATAGTAACTTTAAAATGCACTCAAACGGAGCAGTAAAGATGGATCGGACACCTACAATGGCCCAGAATGTTTCTAGCTATTTCTTAGAGGGGGGAAATAAGATTTTTACTGCACTCTTGCACAGAAATGACCATATTCTATCAGTGGGGGTTTGATAGGATTGTTTATCAATATCACTGACTCAGCATGTAATTCTTGAGATGCTGAACACACATTTGCACCTGCACATTTTCATGACATTTTGCCTATTTGATGCATGTTTCTTTTGGATCTTTGGTCTCATTAGCTTGCTACCTCATCTTTACTATTGTGACTGTAAATAAATGAATGTCTGAATGTAAGTTTGCATACTGTACAGTAGCTGTCTGAGTCTAGAGTATTGATATTGGGTACAGCTTTAGTATTAAAAGCAAAATGAGTAGGATTTGTCAGTTGTGGGTTGGAAACACAACATTCAAAGTTAGCTCCTCCTGTCCGGCTTCATGGCCTCTACTTGGATTCCGGCACCTGATTGCTCTCTGCAGATACAGATTGACATGAACACTAGTTCCTACAAATCATGTCATTTAAATCTATTGCATTATCCCGTCTACAGAGAACAAAGAGAATAGAAATCCATGAAATGAAATAGCTGTGAAAACTAATGTGCTTTATCTTGCAAGTGAGCAGGCTGTGCAAGAGGTTGACGGCCATATACAGTGCGTGAAATGATGCGTTGCCCTGCTGAATGAGAGAAAGAGCCCAAGTCAGTGTGGCGCTATGAGGGAGAGATTGCATGTCAAAAGATATGTTCCACAGTAACGGACGAGTGTCTGAGAGCTCATGAAATGATTCACTGGTGAATTCATACTCAAGTATTAATCAGATAGCACCCGCCTGCCTGTATGAAGAAAGAACTAAAAAGAAACTGTCTTCACATATCGGCTCCCCCAGGAGTACTTAAAGTGGAAACATTTGTGGAAGAAAAGATGAATTCGACCATTTCCCCACCAATATACCAAGGGAAAAAGCATATCCCTTCACGTATGAATACTGATTCTTACACATTTTCCCCATCAAAAAGAATGATGAAATCAAATGAAAGCAAATGTTTTATTGTTGTTGGCATAACAGTAGCCTGTTAACAGCGGCACAGTCATTACACACTTGTTAGAGTGCTTCAGTGAAGCAGAGACCATAGATTGAGAGCACGGTGTGGACGGCAGTGCACCCCTTGGCCCCCACAATTGAAATATTAAGTATGTATAATAATGAGCTATATTTAGTTCCCATGTAAATGGATTAAAATGGAAAGTCTGAGTAGGCTTTTGAGCTATAGCATGGCCTAGATTCAGCAGCTCAAAGCAACAACATAAAGTAGTATTCTTTTTTTTGTGTGTGAATGTGTGTGAGGTGTAATCATGGCTGCCATGGTTTCCCTTGTGACAGATAAGCTCCTCCTCCGCTACGAAGCCTCCTGGAAGAAGGTTTATACCTTTGTGAGGAGTATAAATAGTTTTTCAGCTGCAAGTGTTAAGACGCACTGTTCGTGTGCCACAGACGCAATGCTGAAAAATAATAACCCTACGAGTCCAAACTCTGCATCACTTTGAGTTCTCATGGTAAAGAACATCTTTTCCTGTGCCACACACACACCCCAGATTCTGCTCCCCGAGTGAGTCACTGCACAAAGCTGGTCACAGCTTATCTCGAATTAAGTGCTTGTTTACGAAACAGACAGCCGTGTTATTTATTTATTTGTCTCCAACTTCAGATCAAATGGACAGTAATGTTTACATTACATTGATATCTTCATACCAAAGTAGCTGTAAATTATTTATGCTGCACAGCAAAGTGTGGGTTTCACTGTGAGTTTTAGAAGTCAGAAATCAAAGAAATTGTGATTGTTGAGTCCCTGGTATCAACACCAGTATGTCAACATGTTACAGTTCTTTTCTGCTACAATATGTGTCAGAAAAATCAGGCTATTTGCATCTCTTCAGTCGATTGGTTGATACAGAATGAATTATTAACTAAATATTTGCTTCCTTCTATACTAAAATCTGCAGAAACATCTTTACCACTGATGTGACTAAGCACAAGACCTACCTGGTGTGACATTTTAAACATACACTTCAAAGTAAAGATGTGTTTGCTGCCGTCCGTCCGTAGACACACTCAGCCATAGTAGTTTGACACACTGCACTGAATATTTCTGGAAGTCACATTATTCCATCCCCCAAATGTCACCAGTGGCTCAGCCTGAAATGAGTTCATAAGGTAATCAGATTGGAACTCTGAGTTCCCTCCTCAGAGGGATCAAAGGCAGACGAAAAGCACCCCCTTTTCTTTTTTTCTTCAGTCGGTTCATACAACTTAAAAAGGAGGACACGAAATGGAGAAACAGTCAGTTGTTTGGCAAACAAGAAGTGTGATGAAAGTTTGTCACCCAATCACAAAATCCCCTTCAGGGCTTTGGAGCAGCCCCAGCTCCCAGGTTCCCCTCATTTTCTATCTTAGCAGTAACCCATGCAAATCCGAGGCAACCGGGGGAATAAAACACGTTGTTTATGAGCATGTGGAGGTTGCATCTTGCCACAGAGACACTAGTCCTTAATGCATGGAGAGGATCTGTCTCCATTCCCTGTCCTTTTGTCCTTGCATGCATTTTTATTTTTTATTTTACGTCTCCATTCTGTTAATAATACATGAATGTCCTCTTTCCCTCCCCCTCCCTCTTCCCCCCTCTCCTCCCCTGTAGCAATTATTGAACCCACCACCACTAGTGCTGTCTCAAGCCCAGGTCAGTATATGTCACTATGCTGTACACCAAATCAGCAAAGAGGTCCGCTGCCTCATACTAACCTGAGCTGAAACCCTCTCCTCCATCCTGATTTATTCTGATTGGCTGGCTGGAGTGCCTGCTGGGTGTACAGCTTCATTGTATGTCCTTTATTTATTTGAGTTGCATTCCTCTTTTTTTTTCCTTTTTCTTTTTTTGGTTAATTTTGGGTTGGCTTCTACAGCCTGGCTACATATACTTCCTGCAGCCTGTGTCATCACGCCCGCCCACCCTTTTCCTTTCATCACAACCCCGCCTCTGCCACCGCCACCCCCATGTGGAGCAAACAGTAGTGTCATCAAAGTGGCTCTTCCATAGGCCTCTGGGTCTGATGCTTTTCATAATGCTGATGGCTTCTTCGTCTCTTTCTGGCTTTCTCACCGCCAATACCACCTTTCTCCTGCTCCTCAGTGCTACCTAAATGCAGTATACATCAAAGGCAGGAAGCTGTTGGTGGCAAAGGCCCTTGGTTTGTTGTTTGCAAGATGGAATCTCTTCTGTCTTTGTACTTTTATCGCTCCTTTACTGTCTCCCTCTCTTTTTCTGTCTTAATCTTTCTATACCCCTCTCCCTCCTTTTTCTCTCTGTTCTTTCCCCTTTCTAGAACAATCAGTTGGCGTTCTGCCACCCTTTTTAACCTGATCTCTTGCTAGAGCTGTTGTCGGTGCTACACTGTCAATGTCGCCCTTGTTTCCCTCCCCCTACCCCCACCCTCACTGTATTCTGCCGCTTCCACATTCCAGCCCAGAGTAATCCCTTCTGCCTGGTCGTCTTTTCTCCCTCTCTAATGGTTTTAAGCAAGTCACAGAATGTAATCTCTCATGCTGGTTACATTATTTTTGCTTAATACTGTTCACGCGCACAGAAACATGCAGACATGCGCTCACACTGAAAAGCTTTCACTGGCACGGACATTCGCAGTAGGCGCTGGAATGAAAACATGCTGAAATATTCAAACAAGCTCAAATGCACCTGCACTTACAGCACACACGTAATCACATGCAAGGATTCATATTGCAAGATGAATCCGGCAAGCATTTTTGTGACTTTTCATGCAGCTATGTGAATAGACCCTATCGTTTTCCTCGGCGTTTCACGGAGACACAGCCGTGGATGCTCGCCTGCATTCTCTACCTGTCTATCTCAGCCAAATATAATTATCCATGGAGATTCTGTCAGATAACAAGTTAAAATAAGCTCAGCAGCAACGAACAGTCCTGGCATGGCCCTGAACTCTCATTTGATGTAACGCTTGCAGAACAAATGACAATTTCATGGTCCAAAGGAACACCAGTGGTTTCAATCGTGAAGATAAACTCACTCAGCGACCCACTGTTCTTGTTTTGTTCCAAGTTGTATTTGAAGTTAATTTTTTGATGCCGCCCTCACTAAGTACCTTGGCAAAGGGAATTATTTTAGATTCCTGCAAATGGCTCTTTGTCCCAACCGTTGTTTAATCAAGTTTAATAATTAATTTTAACAGGTTATTATCTGCTTTTATTTCCCCTGCGAATGAGTTTGGGAAGATGCGCTCCCAAAATAAGGAGTCTGTAAGGTAAGCGAATCAGGAGATATGAAGTGGAAAAATTCATCTCCCACAGCACAGTGATTGTTTCAGTCCATTCATCAAGGGCAAATGACAAAAAAATTCAAATTACAAGAGAAAACATCGTTAATAGGCAACATCAGTCATTGTGCTTTTATATCTAACCTTGCTGTGCCAGTACTCTAATAAGAATCGGTTCAGATGGGCCAAAATGTTAATGCGTAGGTTAATTAGATCCCGTTTGTCATATATTAGATTGTTTTGACTCTTTCAAAGGCACAACTGTGGACATCCTGGGGCCACAAGGATAATTTTCTCAATGATCCCGACTTGCAATTGTATTACCACTCAAAAGAAACACTCATACTAAAAATTTGATGGATTGCAAGTTTCAAGACTCAGAAAATAGCATACTGAAATACTGAAACCAGCGGTTGCTTGAAAGGTGGGAAATAGGTATAAAAAAAGATCAGCAGTATGGCCCTTTAAATTAATCTGGTAATCAGATTATGGAACATATTATGTATATTAAATATGTCAACTATTAAACTGTACGTGGGATTTAATTGACTGAAGGTTGAAGACAACAAATCACTGAATACAGTGTAGATTTCTTGGATAGTGAAAATTGTGTACCGGTATATGAATTGTAATGGTGATCCTGTTTAGACCACAAAAAGACTGGATAAAGCTGCATTTGTCACCAAACTGCCACAGTTGTATCTACATGACCGTGTGGATGCTTGCAAATCGTACCACTGTATCCACATTTTAAAAGCCCAGTGTCACCCCTGACTACTCTGCAATACTGAGCACAGTAAAATAAGTTTGTCTTGAGTTGTTGAAGCTCTGTGACACCCACAGAAGCAGGAAGCTACAGACACCTTTGGGTACAAATCAACAAAAACCTGGACTGGTGAGACCACAGCAGAACGTTACCATGAGGAAACGGATCTTTCAATGTGTGCAACAGGCTGCTGAAGTCAGCGGTGGCCAGTGCACTGTTCTTGGCTGTAGTGCGTTGGGGAGGCGGCATCGAGTCCGGTGATGCCAGTAAATTTGGTAAGGAAGTCCAGCACTGTCGGGCAGGAACTGCACAGTCTGGAGGCAGTGGCAGAGAGGAGGATGATGGACGTGATGAACACCGTCCTAAATAACCCCTCCCACCCGCTCGATGATGAACTGTGGCAGATGGACAGCACGCTCAGCCACCAGCTCATCCCACCAAAGAGCAAGATGGTACGCTTCAGGCGTTCACTTGTGCCCACTGCCATCAAACGTCACAAAAGCAACTGTGGCCACAGCCTAAGCCAGCTGTGACCCCCCACCCCCACACCCAACCCACTCCCAATCAGCCAGACCTGTCACACTCACTGCTCTCATCTCTGTTTCAACATCCAGACTCAGTAGTGACTGTTAAAAATTGACTTTTTCTACCACTGCTGAACAATGATCCATCTATTGCTATACCTGTTAGTTTCATAATTAATATGTAAGTAGTATTAGAAATAATTTGACATTTTAGCAAATGCTCTTATTTGCTTTCTTGCCGAGAGTTAAATCAGATTGATACCCCTCTCACGTATTTACTATATATAGGTACAGTCAACAGTTAGCTTAGCAACTGGAAGCATGGGGAAACAGCTAGCCTGCCTCTGCATCCATTTACCAGCATCTCTCAAGTTCATTAATTAACACATTTCTTCTCAATATGAACTGTACAATTATAAGCGTGATCTTTGACTTCTCATCTAACTCTCGGTAAGAAAGCGAATAAGTGTATATTCCCAAAATGTTGTACTGTTGAACTTGTGCTTATTAAAAATTGATTATTTATTAAAATACTATATAATTTAATGTATTAAAATTAATATTATATTATTAAAACCACAAAGTTAGACACCGTTAGTGAGTGGTAAAAACTGATTCTTGAATAATTACCTTCAAACATTGAGGAAATTGTAATGTATATTATACATATGTATATAATTCTGCATTTTTGAATTTGACACTTGAATTTCACTCCTAAAAATATAAGATATAAGATATAAGATAAGTAAAATCTTATCTTATACATGTTAGGAAGATATGTTTACACTTGTCAGGGAATCACAAACAGAAATAGAAACAATCTGTCGTTGCTACTTGACAGATATTTTTATCTGCTGCACTGTGAAAGTTTGCACAGCCTGTGTTTAAAATGGTAATATATCACATTTTGTTGACAATAAAGGTCTTAAGCTTGCTTTATCTTTAGCATATGGATTTGTTTGTATTTACCTAAACATAAAGCACTACTCCAGTACTCCAAAGCAGCTGGCTCGGTGCCACCCTGTCATCCCAATGAAATGTAGATCTGTGATAATAGCATATGCTCCCACAGGCTTTCACTTCTGTTTATTCCCGCAAATCACTTGACAGTAGAAAAACAATGTTCTTAACACCGTTCTGAGCCCCATTTCTTGTATTTGCCAGGCACAGTGTACAGTGCGACTGGTTCAAGGAATATTACATGCATTATACATAATGTGTGTGACTCTCTGATTCCCATGTGTCATGTTAACTTACAAATAAACAAAATTCAGGCAGCCTGTGTGTTGCTGACTCAAGATGATCACTCCCCTATTAATCTTGTTCTTAGCCCTCATTTTTCATAGTGCGTGATTATTTATTTATTTAGTTATTTATTTTCCTCTTATCTAGTATAATCAGAGATAATTATGGAGGAGGTAACTCTGATGCTGTCATATTAGAAGCCTGGTATGTGAAGCATTTATTTGACCCTCCCCCCTACCCAGCATGAAGCACTAGGAGACAGGAAGAGGAGATTAATGAGTCCATGAAGGTTTATGTGTCTTGTTAATACCATGGAGTAGGTCATAAGAAGATCCATGATGTAGCAACCTTTAAGAATTATTAACTCTTTATCCAGAATGATGCCCTGCATTTTTCTTGTATTTCTTCTATGCATTTTAGTAGACAAAAGACCCTTTTTAAATCAGTTTCTGTACAAAGATGTTTTGAAATTGCAAGTCTCAGCAGCCTAATAAAGACGGTTTTCTGATTGATTTAGAGCGATGGTTGGCCATATATCTTTCTTTATTCACGGTCCAGAGAACAACATCAAAGAGATAATCTACCTTATTAAGTATTCTTCCGAAGTCCTCCAAAATTCAAAAGTCACTCACTCAGCTCCCCAAGGCCCAGGGAGCTGTGTTAATCAAATTATTTTAGTGAGCATGTAAAGCTTCTTTAATCAAAGGATAGCTGGCTAATTTATGTCTGAAATTGGGGTAATGTCTTCTTTGGAAGATGACTTTAAACAAGGTTAGATTATGCTTTTCCTCTTTCAATTTGTTACTTTATCTGATGTTGGTACAAGTTGGACCCTTAGGCACATTTTGTTGATATTACA